TGCCTTGTTTTTTGACATCTCACACCCATCATAAACGCTACACGTAGATCAGTGTTTCTCAACCTTGGCCGCTGGATGATGTGTGGACTTCAACTCCCAGAATTCCCCAGCCAGCTCTGCTTGAAGAGTTGAAGTCCACACATTGTCCAGTGGCCAAGGTTGAGAAACACTGAGGGAGATGGTAGTAGTGTATAAAATATGTCCGATTCCAAATGATGGAAGATTATCATTTTTGGAGGCAAAAGATCAGCTGTTTGTGTCACAAATATAATCTTGGTTGTCTGTTGTTAGTTGTGGAGCCCATTTCTGCAATAAGTGAACTTAAAACTAAAGTTGAAAAACTAAAAAAAAAACAACAACCCACATGTTAATAAATTACTGACCCACAATTCCAAAAATCTGTCATCACTGGTTATACTGACTGGGATTTTGGAGAATTATAGTTCGGCAATATCTAGAGCAGTGGTTCTCAACCTTCCTAATGCTGCGACCCTTTAATACAGTTCCTCATGTTGTGGTGACCCCCAACAATAAAATTATTCCTAAAACCTTTGAAAATATGTGTTTTCCGATAGTCTTAGGCGACCCCTGTGAAAGGGTCATTCGACCCCCAAAGGGGTCCCGACCCACAGGTTGAGAACCACTGATCTAGAGGTTCCTCACTCATAGCCTAAAGGAAATGAGTCAAGTCGTTTTATGGCAGGGGTCTCCAAACTTTGCAACTTTAAAACTTGTGGACTTCAGCTCCCAGAATTCCCCAGCCAGCATGGGGAAGTCCACAAATCTTAACGTTACCAAGTTTGGAGACCCCTGTTTTAGGGCAAGATAACATGGCCTTTGGGGAGGAGGAGGAGAGCATATTTGTTGCAGTTACCAAAGAGGCCAAGTTATCCTATGGAATTTAAACTCCTTCAGCATTTTCTCTGTCCTAAACATCTTGATATATGTTGGATCAGGATGCACGTAACAAATAGTTTGTTTGAAATAATTATGTTCTTTCACTTTGTACTGTAGTTCCTAAAGCCTAGAAATGCCCTCATATCCACCATCTTTTCAAGAATAAGAAACTATGAATTGGGATCTAGATCCAAGCTTCTAGTTTACCAAGGATTGCCAAAAATCTGTGCTCTAAAGGAATATATAATTTTTGTACCCAGTGCAAAATAAGTGTACTATTGGGAATAGCACTGTTATTTTTGAAATTGTGTGAATTTTTCTGACAGCTTATACATACAGACCATACAAAATCAGTTTTTGCTGTTTGTCACCATACGTATTTTTGCAGATACTCTTTATTTCAAAGATAGTTTCTTGCTCTACAATTTCACAGTCCTCCAGGACAAAACATACATTACACATTTTTCATGTAATAATGTATTTTTAAAAAATCCAGATCTGTCTTTGGTGCTTTCCTCCTAGGAAAGCAAACTTGGGACATTTACAAATAAAAGTATCCATTCTTTAGGTAAAGACTAAAAACTCACAATTGAGGTTTTAGATTAATCCCTATTGACCCCTAATAATCCATTTTAGTTTATTTTATATTTTTGGTGTAATGGGCTGAAAAACAAAGGAGTAGCAAGTGTATTGTTCGAAAATCTCTATATATTTATGAATACATAAAATTGTTTCATGACCAAATAAATAAATAAATAATTAAATAAGCAAAGCTTTGTGCAGCACTCCATTAAGTAGATACATTGAGCAACCACTACTTACCATAAATATATTTTTCTGTGCTTACATCAGCCAAATCAGAGATACATAAATCTTCATGTGATGATGGAACTGTTATTTCAAATAAAAACTAGACTACGGTGAATTTGGGGCACAAAACTTTTTTAAAATCTGAGGACTTTAAGCACAGACTGTATTTGAGATTCATTCTGAATTTTACCTTTTGGAGGCGCAAAACACTTTTTGGGAAAGAAAAAGAAAAAAGAAAAAAAAAGCATTACAATTAGTTGTGTCTGTGAGTTCCTTTGTTTTTACACAAAGCATTACGCAAAAGCCTGCAAGGAGAAAAAAGGAATAGGTTTCCATCCCCCTCCTCCTTAAAGTTCAAAGCCTCATAATAGTTTTTCCATGTAAATAGCGAGACAGGTTTTAACAATGAAAAAACGTATATATTCACAAATGCAATTAATTCTGGATGAAGTGATTGGATTTCCTCAAACAACACAAAACTTTTAAACTTTTTTTTGGCTTGGTAAATATGTAAATATTTAGTAATGAGAATAAACAGAGTTTTGGTATTTTTCCACTTTTGCCATATACCTGGCATGCCAGCTTTAATAACATGTGACAGTTTATTTTAAATATAAAGTTTACTTCTAAAGTCCTCATCTAGTTAGAAAGCTTCCCATCAGCAAAGTCGGTCCTAATCAAAGGAGGGTAATTGAAAACAAACAATTGCTTGACTATTGAAATTCAGAGAAAGGGTTAGAGTAGGCTTTTTTTTTGTTTTTTTGGTCAAATAACTTTTTAGACATAATTAAAGAAAACAAACAAACCATTTCAATGCTGCTCAAAATCCTTGCAAAAAGGAATTCTACTAAAATCTCAAAGTTCAACACTTGAAGATATTTTACTTGGAGAGCATTATGGAAGGAAGAAAACAACGCAGCAAAAGCTTGATGGATCCCAACCACCTATGCTTCTAATTTGTTAATGGAGATGCTGTGAGTGCAAGAACTACAGAATTGGGGACTCTGCAAAACGTTTTGTTTCCACTCAGTTGACAGTATACAAATCCTGTTGAATTCGGCAGGGCTACCTTTTGCTAAAATGGCCATACCCATATAGTGCACATTTTCAAGAATTCAGGGAAGCGCTGTGTATCACCTCAGCAGAGATTGCTATCTCTTTTGTACAGGTTATACTTGCAAGGTAGGGTTTTTGAAGGGGTCCTTCTTTAACATCCATCCATCCATCTATCCATCCATCCGAGTTTCCCTCCCCCCACTTTTCCCCTTCCTATAATTGTCCAAACCTTTAGGCAGCCTCCCCAGATTCCTCCTTCCACCCTTTTCCAAGAAACCCATCCAGTCAGGGAGGTCATCCCCAACGTTGAAGAGCTGAGTCACCCATTGTGAAAGAGGCCTGGAAAAACTTTTGCTGAGTAATGAATTAGTGTTGGATCCCACAGATATGAGACATACCATGAGCGGATGAGAAGAACAACCATGGGTTTGAATGAGAGGGAAGTGGGTACAAAATGCTGTGTGTGTGTGTTGTGTTATTTTGTTTTGTTCTGCCTGGAGGGAGGGGAGGTCACCTCTTGCTCCCAATATTCCTGCAGTCAGAAAGTAGAGGCACACCCTCCTTTCCACAGGATGGGGGGTGTGGAGTTTAGTCACCTGCCAATGACTAAAGGCCACTCAGTTTATGGGAATGGGGCAAGCCCTTGAGGGCAACCCACCAACACGCGATTGTGCTTTGTTTCCTACACAAGGGCAGTAGGGCATCAGGAGGAAGTCCAGTGCCTGGCACTCAGACTGGCATGTGACGGAAGATCCTTTCACAGTCCAGGCCAAAGGTCTGGTCCAAGGGAATCATGGACAGGCAACTCTAGGGCAGAGACTGAGAAGTGCATGGGAGGGAGGGAGGGAGGGAGGGAGGGAGGGAGGGTGAAAGAAATGGAGAACAAGAATGGGTCAGTTTCTTTCCTCTATCCCCACCCCTTTTCTCCCTCCATCCCCCTTCCCAAATCTGGCATTTCAGTTTGAGACAGGGTGGGTTCGTACACTCACCTCGCCTTGTCTCTTTGTAGGGGAGAGGAGGCAATCTGCAGGACCTCTCCTCCCCCTATGCCCCCCACATACACTCCCCCCCACCCTCAGGGACTGGGCTTAGCTTTGTGGTTAAAGCTTTACACGTCAGAAAGGAGGGGGGGTTTAGAAGAAAGGTTGCACGAATTATCTTCCCCAAATTAAAACATACACATGCTTACACACACGCACACATCTACGTTTCAAAAAAAAACCCACAACCAAACCCCAGTGAGTGGGATTGGCAAATGGGATTATTAATCCTGGCCCAGAATAAAGGAGGCAGCAGACTCCATGCAGACCCTTCGGCGAAAGGAAGCATCCAGTCACACACCTACCTTCAAGGGCCGCACCGGACTGGGGCTTTAACCAGATGGCGTGGAGAGCAGGTAGGAACCTGTGGTCACTTTTTTCAACCCCCATCCAGAGGGCAACTTGCCCATTCTCTCCTCAACTCAGAAGCTAAAGGAATACCTTGCAACACATTGGATTTTCCAATATTTGCTGGAAATCCCCCCCCCACCTTTATTTTTTATTTTTTTTAAAAAAAATACCACTAGCAAAACTTGGCAGCATCCAAAGAGCTAGAGAACAGGGTGGGGAGGAGTATGGTGGGCTGGCATTTCCTCTGGATAGATTTTAGAAAAACAACCCAAGAAAAGTTCCTTCCTTCTTTCCTTTCAGAAGAGTCCTATTGCTAGTAGGACTTTTACCTTTCTCCTGTACCCCTCCTCACTCCAAAGTTTGAAGAGCTAGAAGTGGGGCACCTCAGGCTGAACAGCAAGCAGGAGGGGGAAGAAAATGAATGGGTGCTTGTAGACAGTGGTACCAAATGCATTCTTGAAAGCAACCTGGTTCTGTTTAACACTTTTAAGTTTTTAAAAAGGCAGCTACTTTAAGAAGATTATGCCTTTCTTTCTTTCTTTCTTTCTTTCTTTCTTTCTTTCTTTCTTTCTTTCTTTCTTCTTTCTTTCTTTCTTTCTTTCTTTTTCTTTCTTTCTTTTGCTTTTTCCTTCCTTCCTTCCTTCCTTTCTCTCTCTTTTCTTTCTTTCTTTCTTTCTTTCTTTCTTTCTTTCTTTCTTTCTTTCTTTCTTTCTTTCTTTCTTTCTTTCTTTCTTTCTTTCTCCTACATTCCTGGACACCAATCAAAGAACAAATCACAGGAGGTGGAAGAGGAGAGCGAGAGAGAAAGAGAGAGAGAGTGAGTGAGTGAGTGAGAGAGAGAGAGAGAGAGAGAGAGAGAGCGTGGTGAAAACTTTGCATACATACAAAACAAAGTACAGACAGCTATTCCCACCTAACACCCAGCAAACAAAAACCAAAACAAATAGGGAAGAGGGGGGGAAAAAGGAAGGAAGAAAGGAAGGAACGGAACCCGGGGCAGAGCCAGCCAGAGAGAAAGGGAAATTTTCACTCCGCGCTGGGATCTGCAGGGATCATTCGGAGCACAACCGTTGGTCTGCTAACCCGCCGTGTCGCCCCCAGCCCACACTCTGAGTCTACTATGCTATGCGTTGCTGGGGAGGGTTCAGGTAAGGGCTCGCATCTCGCTCCGTTTTGAGAAGGGGGGTGGGGTGGGGGTCCTGCCTTGCGCCTTGTCTTTTTTTCCAACCGCTGCTGATTCTAATTTGATTTGATTAAAACGTCTGTCTGGCTTTGGGACTGATTTAAGACTTTCCCTCTACCCCCCTTCTCTCTTTTTCATGTATGTTTGTGATTACCGGGGGTGGGTGGGGGGGGGGGTGAGAGAGGAGAAGGCAGCTTAGCAAGGAAATATCATCCCAAATTGACAGAGGAAAATCAAAGTCACCAACATTTTAGACAACAGCTAAAAAGGGTTTCTCCCCACCCACCCCACTCCTCCGTGGCTTGAGTTTAATGCTTTCCCAAAACAGAAAGAAAGTATGTTTGGTTATTAAAATAAAAAGATAGTTTATTCGTATAGTTTTAAACAAAGGACGGGACAAGAGGAAGAAAAGCCACCCCAAAACACTTTTTTTCCCCCAAAACGAGGAAATGTCCTTTTCTGGGAGGGGATAGAAATGGAGAGGGAGGGGGGGGGGAGATCGCAACTTTAGGAAGTGTCTGAATCTTTTCGGAGTGATTTCTGTGAGTGGTTTGGAGTGTTGTTTTTGTTACTTGGGAAAAGTTTTAACATTTTAGCCCGGTTAGCAAAACTTTTCTCACTGTTAACTTTGAGAAGGTTGAAAAGCTGGAAGGGGAGGGGGGGTGGGAGATTACTTAGAAGGAAAGTACTTTTTTCCGGCAGGGTGTAATTTTTATAAGCAATAGGGTTTTTGTGTTTTGCAGACAACACCCCAGGCTTTCTGGGAGAAGGCTCATGTTTAAATAAAATAGAAATGTAAAAAGAAACCTTAAAAGGTCAAAAGTGGTTTGTTTCCCCAACTGACTCTTTTGACAATCTAATCATGCCATTTAGCAACAGGCGACTCTTTTGCTCCCACAGAATTAGTTATTTAAAAAGAGCAAACAAAGCTTTATTTTTTTTAAAGAACACAAAACAAAAATCTTTGGGATATCTCTCCCCCCCCCCCTCATTCTGGATGTTGGAAAAGGCTGAGTAAGGAAACTGAAAGGGAAGATGCCGGAAAACGTGAGGCCGGGAGGCCAGCTTTGATTCATTCCTCCAGGAGCAGTCAGGCAAAGAGAGAGACCCAACTCTTACAGCTAGGTGTAGTGGAAATGATGCTGCCCATTGCCTCTTGGGACTCTCTTCAGCCAGAAGGTTCTGATCCTTGGCTGAGCTAGCTAGCAAAATTAAAGAAGGAGAGAAGAAGAGACATCCAACTGATAAACTTTTATTTACGGCTCTAACACTCCCATCCGGCAGCTGCAGAAAGCAACCTGGAGCCAGTTTTCTTGTTTTTTTTTCCCCTCGTAGGATAGAGAAAATTAGGGGGCAATGTTCCTCAACAACATGCCGGCATGGTTAGCCTCTGAGTTACCTAAGCTTTAACCCAGCTTTATACCAACTTGATAGTAATGGAGTAGCAGAACAAAGAGTAAGTGGATCATACTATACGTTGGAGAAACTGCTACAAGGAAAGTTTCATGGAGGATATAGGTGAAAGTCAACCAGGGACGACTCCCACCCTGGTCACCACTTCTTTACCCTCCTACCATCAGGAAGGAGATATAGAAGTATAGCCAGCCGCACAAACAGGCTGAAGAACAGTTTTTATCCGTGGGCTGTCAGATTCCTGAATGAGAAATAACACCATAACTACGTAGTATGATGGACTGCAGGGCCGCCGCAATGTGTAACATGTTCACACTGGTGCAATAGGACTGGGTGTTTTGTTAATACGATTTATTGGGCTAGGGATTTTCTGTCTTCATTGTGACTTGTATTGTGTTGGTGGGGGGGGGCACTGAGGGAGCTCAGCCAATCTCATGGTACATATGTTGTGCACTGACAATAAAGATTTGAATTGAATTGAATTGAAAGGGACTAGGTCCTAGGAAAGGGCATAATATTTCATAAGCAACGCTTTCTCTTTACCTGCTTGCAAACATACGTGCAAGATTATTCCAGTGTGCGTGCAGCTATGGTCAGTCAGACAAAAAGACGCCTCTTATTCCTGAAGTCTTCACTTTTTGGCAAGTAGTTTTCCACCCTGTGCGTTAGCACCATAATGTAGCCAACACAAGCTGTTGAGTCCTATATAGAATGTGGAAGAAAAAGTGGGAGCCCTTTGTCCAAAGAGAGAACCTGTAGTTCCATCTAAACCCAAGAGTTTCCCCACAGAGAAATACTATGGTTAGAAATCCAGTGTCCTAACAGAAAGCCAATTCTGTGATACAGGCAGGAATACGAAGGTATCTAGGAAGCAGACACCTAAGCTAAAAGCCTAACTATCTAGCCAAATACTCAGCTTTATATATATGAACATCCTCATCAAGAAAGCTCATATACATGTTCCAAACATGTATATACCACATCAGCATCTCCTTTCTATGCAGCAGTATTTATCTTGCTGATGAGAGATGACAGGGCAAGGAGGTTCCCACCATTGGTTCACGATGATGATGATGATGATGATGATGATGATATCGATGATGATATCCATTCAGTCTTGTCTGACTGTCAGCTGCCACTTTACTTAGAGGTTCAAGCTGACGCAGGTCTGACACTGACTTTTGATGATTCTATGGACCAGGTCTCTTCACATCTTTTGATCTTGCACTATTTCTTTGAGTTTTTCTATGTTCTGGCTGGTGTCAGCTTTGATGGTGACCACCATTAATTTGGCAAACTGAGGACATATCAACACTTTGAATGGATTTGAAGTATAGAGAGAGCTGTTTTAGTGTAAAATACATTTGATGCTATTATCCAATGGTTTGGAGAGATACTGGCATATCTGGACTTCAAAATGAACATGAATGTCATATGTATAAGGAATGGGAATGGTAGCACCAGGCCCTGCTCCAAAGCGAAATGGGGAAAATATCTAAAATGCATGCAGGAATCTGCATAAGATCAGACCTTGTTCATTTCACAGGCATCTCTCTCACCCAGCCTATCTGAGTCTCCACATGGCTATTTAAAATGAGTAAAGAGACAGAATGTAAACAATCAGTGTCAGGACAATCAGATACATGACAGGAAGCAGACTAATTCATACAGTCTGTCCTATACAGGGATCTCTGTACAGTTCTTCCAATACTCTGACCCAGATATTGCTTCATATCCCCAAATGAAGGCTGCCAGGACTTAACTGTCTGGAAATTATAGATTTAGCTCTGTGGAGAAGGTATTCCTGCAGGTATTTGTGGGATTCTTTTTCTAACTTGACAACAGGTGTTATGGCATCAAAAAGTCAACTTCAGCTCAGAATATCAAATCTGGTGTGCTGGTGCACCATTAAATATTCATTAATGCCTCTTATTAGAATAAGAGTTAAATCTTGATTTTGGAGCAGTGAGGGTTCAGAGCAAAACTCTGTAAGTAAATTCCCTGTCCCCTTTTCTTACTGCCTTCCATCTCACAAACAGATGTATTGAAAGCAGCTGTTCAGATCTGAGAAGTAGATCAACCTCTCCTATACACTCGTATTTTTGCATGCACACATAGATGCACACGCACAGAGGTACACACTTTTTATACACACATTTTTTTTTCTAAGGAGTTTTTCACTACTTGCTGATCCAGGTTTGCTGATCCTAAACCCACAGTCAGGAAATTAAAAAGAAGAAAAGTTGTAGAAAGTGTCTTGACAGCTTTGTATTATTGTGCACCTGAACAAGAAAAACAAAATAACCGAGGCTCCATCAAGACATTTCGAATGAGACTTCAGTTTTAAGGGTGCATATTCTCAGGGGCTTCCCACCTGCCTGGTCAAGTACTAAGCTCTTGGAGACCGCTCAATTTCAATATTTTTAATGTTTTATATTTCTACTTTTATCATGTAAGTAATCCAGAGTTGCTTTGGATAGTGAGATGGGCATGTATAAATTTTATAATCAATAAATAAAATAAATAGAAAAATCTATCCTTCAAGCAGTGGTGGAGAAACCATAAGTATAGTCTGATCCATAACCTAGGTGGCCAGGCTTAAGAACAGTATCTCTGCATACCCATCAGCAGGGCATCACAATGAATTGCAAACAAATGTCTAAAAGTGTCTATACTTTGGTATCTCCCAACCTTTGAAAACAAATTTCCTTTGCTTAGATATAAAAATTGGGGCAAAATGTATACCACATGGTTAAAACAGATGAGACTGCCAAAACTTAATAAACTGTTTCATGGGCCAGGTCTGACACATAATTAGGCATGCTCTGGGAAGAGGCCAATGCTTTTTCTATGAAGTACCTCCTGTGCTTTTTATTAATTCCATCAATGGGGTGACTAGCATGAACAGGAATGATGCCATGGCATTTACACAGAGAAAGCCGCTCACCTAGTCTTCAGATTTAGAGATGTCCAGATGTTCTCCTTATACCCGTATTTTCTGGTGCATGTAGGGGTTCTGAAGAAATTCTTGACAAAGTCCAATTTGTAAAACCAATCTAGGAAAAATTAAGTTCCCCTTCCAAGACCACAAGAAATGTAACATGTCTACACAATAATTCTGTGGTCCCAATTACTTTAGCTTCTTACAATCAAGATCAGGTTAAAGCTTCATTTTTGCTGAAACCTCCTGTATAGCCCAGGCACCTGCTAAATCTGTGAGCAAAGGTCCAGTATAAAAATCCTGATGACTAGTATGTATAACTACTCCCATCAAGCTCACTGTCAGTTTTCTTAATGATAGCCAGAAGAAGCCAGGATTATAAAAAGGCAGTTTCTTACAAGAAGATACTCCCTGGTTCCTGAAAGATAAAGAATAGTTTGTTCATTCTTGGACAAATGTCAATTGCAACATGTTAGGCCACCTGTGATCTACTTTTGTAGGTGAAATGTGATCCCTAAGATGTCATCAAGGAGAGAAAAAAGATGGATGTCAGGAAGACAAACAGCCTCAGGATGACAACATTGTTAAACCAACATGGGAAAGCTTTTAAA